AAACTGTCAAAATTAGGCGTCAGACTTTGAATATTCTGAGAGACTAACAGAAAAATAGTCGCTCTTCTCTTTTTCCATATACTTACATTTCTCTCATTCTTCACTCATTCTCATCCACAGCTACCATCTCTCGTAACGCTGACGAAAGCATCTAGCGTCTCACCTCACTTATCCACCCCCAGGTGACAACAATAAAACCCACGCGGATCTTTATAATAAATAAAGATAAAAATATCTGATAAACAAGCGTGTAAAAGGAATACGCCAAACTGTGGTTTCGAAAGTTTGATAAAAGCCAGTCACAGTTCTTAAAACAGTGTTGAATCGCCCAATATCATCCTAAAAGCTATTTTAGTCATCTCGAAATTCGATTAAAATGTGATTAGCGTTAAGATATCGAACGAATGTCTAAATCCATTTTCTGATTAAAACAAAGAAGAAATTCAGCTTTAAGTAATAAGCGCGAAATAGAAGAGCTGGCCGAAAATCCTAATCCACAATATCCTACTTTTTCAGAGAAGAACGAATATCCAAAGTAGGAATATGTCTTAACAGTTACTCTATTATGATTTTTCTAGCTTTAATGCTTTTATGACTTCTCTGTATCGACGGTACTTCCGTGAATCCTATACGAGTTTCTTTTCACGCTGCATCCAAGTACACGCAAAACACGATCACCACACGAGAACGGCGTCGTAAACACCGGTCATTGAGAAATATAGCGTTAGCAAAATCGGACACGGGGAAAAATTCTACTGCAACCAATACTCGATAATTATATCTCTCTCTGGATTTGTCCCCAAAAATGTCTCTCCCACTCAGGAAAATATTTTGATTTAGCAGGGATCTTGTACTTTGAATAAGAGCGTAAATTTTAAGCGGCACACAAAAACTTAAAAGTTTGGCTCTCAGAGTATGAAATGGCGTCAGTAAAGCTCTGCGACACTGACTGCTACAAATTTGGTTCTAAACAACGCACCTATACTCATATCATGCCTGAGTCGCGCATTTTTTTAGGTAATCGTCCTTGAAGCTTTGTGAGTTTTACTTCCAACGGCTTATCCAACGAACGGTCTCCCTTTCTCGCTGTTTTTCAAAAAATTATTGCAGTAAAGGTACAAATTAATCTAAAATTGTAACTAGATAATTAAGCAGATTAAACATTTCTCTATAAAATGAAAAGTGTTCGGATTCTGAACGCTGCTTCGTTATGAAAATACAGCTGTTATGTAAAATAACAGTGTTATCGTTTCTCTGTTTTTTCTTTAATTAATACAGACTAATTAGAATAGTTTCGGACTTGAAAAGGTATCACATCATGTAGAGCAAACAATTTTCTACAAACTGATATACTTGTTCAACTTTTGCCGGCTTGTCTTCACTCTTTTAGGCACTCTTTTCAGATAGCCTCGAATAGATCTTTTGGGCTGTTTGTACAACAGGTGTATTTTCATAACGAATCAACGTTCAGAATCCGGACACTTTCATTTTATAGAGAAATGTTAAGTCTACTTAATTATCTAGTTGCAGTTTTGTATTAGTTTGCAGCTTTATTGCAATAATTTTTTGTAAAACAGCGAAAAAAGAGCACCGCTAGCTGAGAAAGCCGCCAATAGCTTTTGTTGTAACCACTCAAATGACATCGCTGTCCTTTCACACCGAAAACAAAAGAAAAGTAATTCATTAGTCTGAATATAGTAGCATCAATTTTGTTTCTGCGTCAAAAATAATAGGAAGTCCACGAGACATTAACCGAATGCAAAAAAGATGTTTACTCAACTTGCGTCAGCGTCATTGAAAGGAGCTTTGGATTTTTAGTGCATTAAGCGAGCATTTGTCACGTGATTGACGGTCGTCTTGATTAATAAAAAATGTTTCTGATGAGAAAATTTTCTCTGACCTTTTTCGGAATTCAAACGCCTGTTGTTTCGATGTGTTGAGTAGAATTCCAGAAAATAACGATGTAAACTAGTGCCACAAATAAAAAATACTCTTAAAGTTATTTGATTTTTGAATTGTATGTATGGACCAGAACACGAGCAGGCACATTTTAAACAAGAGTATGTTTTCAGTCGCCTTTTGAATCTGTATTGGTTTTAATCTAAAGCTCCTTTTTCGAATCAATTTAAAAAACGGCATCTTGATATTTGCGCAATTTTGTAAGAACTTTTCCATAGTATCTTTTCTTAAATAAAATTAATAATCTCCATAGCCAAAATTCTCATATGTGATAAAAAGTCTCTGGGATGGGTCACAAAAAATATTGATTTTTAAATTTAATTGGGAAATAACAACATTATTGTATTTTTGCTTTAAAATTTTTTTCTGTTAGTAGTAGGCGTACAACAATACGATAACATCAATATCGACAATATCGATTTCGGTATTATTGATCTCGATAATGTCGAAATCGATAATATTGATCTTCGATATTTTATCGATGAGGAAATGTGAGAAAAAGATTTGTGAGAGAAAGTACAGGAAAGAGATAAATCTTTCAAATTGTTAGTTCTCAAGCTTATCGATTCCGATATTGTCGAATTTAATAGTATCGATTTTCGACATTGTGACTTCGATACTTCAATAAAATATCGATATTGGCGCATCCTTATTTAGCACATAACCGGATAGACAGACAATCGAAAGTAAGAAATAGAGAAATCAAAACCATGTCGACGGCCCATCAACCTCGGCATCATCTTTGTTGTTCATATTTCGATAGCGAGATTCCATGAGTTCTTTAAATGTTCCGTCAGCATACGGTCTCCAGCTAAAGATCCAATGATGGGCAATCGAAAAGAAGACCATTTCAACACAGATCAATATGTTTTCCAATAGAATTTTTTCTTGTTCAACTGTGAATCCTACTGTCGAATTCTTACAGTACGCATTAGTTGCCGAATCACACGTCGTGTTTCGTAATACTTTAAGAAAGGCAAGACCACTCATTAGTACAGATTGCCAAAATATAAAAAAAACAATAAGTTTAATGACAATAAATTTTGGTAATGGTTTAAATGGTTTTAATTCCATGTTTGTATTTTCATAAAATGTAACCAAACAGTAGAGAGCCAGTGATTGACTTACATTAATAATAAATGTTATGTACGGATAGCCTCTATTAAATTTCCATTGTCCATCTGCATAAAGGCCCGCTAAATTGAGAACAACAGCAATGCCTGAACACAATGGATTAATCCATGAGTACTGTAATAAGCCAAATTTGAAATACCAAACCCAACGTATATGTGGTACTGGTTTATAACAATAACCGAATGGAAATGTGAGTTTGATCGTTTCTTTTTGCATAATAACTTCTTCAACACCTCGATGACCGCCAAGATATTTTGTGAGCAGAAGAAGAAAACAATAGATGACATACGCTTCAAAACAGGACTGTACAAAATTCATATAGATAGCTGATGGAAAGAATATAAGTGAAAGCCAAGATGTCATTGCATATACGGGCACCATGGCAATAATTCTTATGACCCGTTTTTGCGATGGACGATGAGTTTTGTGTACAAAATGTTGAATCATTTGGACTATACTCATACCTGAAGCGACAATGGCAAAAATACCACCGATAATAGCTATAAGACCTTGTTCATGAACTGGATCTTTGTATTGTTGCCATTTAACAGGAGTATTCGCAGCCCAAATTATGATAAGTGCAATGGCACACCAAAGAAGAACGAACACACCCCATGTGACTTCGTTTTTAATTATTGACAAAAATTTTTGATAGCAACTACGTTTGCGCCATGGTTCACGCACTGGAACGATTACGGGTGTTGGCTCTTGAAAAAATCCATTTGGCACAGTATGCTGCTGCTGAGAAGGCTGCGTTTCGTGTAAGCTCGAATCATGCATCAGTGGGGTGAGATGTACGAATAGTGAATGCGTATTTCAAATGGTAGTCACAGAGACAAAAAGGAGGGGATGTAGCGAAACAGAAAAAATCACCTGTGCGTGTCGGAACACATGTTGACTTGCTTCTGTTAAGAGAAAAAACACTGTTAGAACTAAAAAATTACACAAAACATGGTTGTTTACAGCAAAAGATTTTAAGCTATGTTATAGAAGAAGAAGACCACGAAGAACGAGGAGAAAAAGCAAAAAAATCAAAGGTGAAGGAGAAATGATAGACCGTGTTCAGAAGATCGTTCTCTATTAATCCATGCGAAAAACGAAAGCGAAAAGAAATGTTTTGACTGTCCATTTGTATAATAAATAATAATTGGCTGCTTTCAATCGCCATTTTTTTGCTAATATTGCTCTTATAATTTAGTTAGACGCTTAATTAGCAATGGTATCGAGGAAAAGCTAAATTATTCAAGTGTGCTCGACTATGTTCTTTATGATGCAACAAACGCTTTAACGCCTAATAGCAAACTGTGAATATAATCAGTCGTTATGTTATGTTTCGAGCACAATAGATAGTTCAATACTTTGTTCAACAGTCTGATACTGTAGAAATATAGTTCAGCATTTCTTTATATCAAAATAACGATCAACTTTGATCAGCATCAATTCTAAGGTATAAAAGTAATTTTTTCCCTCTGTTTGGAGAATTTATATACGTATTTTACAAAACAAGACAAATTTGATTGTTAACAATAGAAGAAAAGACACTAATCAGTTTTTAACGCAAATTGAGAGAAGAAAAACATAAATACAGAAAAATATCTCTTATAAAAATATCGAAAATATGAGTGAATTGCAAGTTTATTGTACAATTCATAAAAACAAACGAAAGTAAGCTTAGAAAAAATCTAAGTTGTGCATCTTGTTCCTCATCATTTACTGGGCGCGTGGTGAAAATTTCCCAACTACCATGTGCGCAGTGGCTAAAATATTTAATATCGAACTTTTCCCCTTTCTCACGGAGAAAGGTTTTCGAAAATGTGAACCGAAACTTATACAAATGGGAACATATTATACACCATTCGATATATTTTTATTTTTGAAAAAATCAAAACCTAAATTTTCACATTACTAGGCGAAAATGTGAACCGTCACTTTAGTCGTTACAGTAAATAGCCTTAGAAAAAAGGATGACAATGTCCGTCTACAGAAAATCAGAAAAGTGTGCGTAAAATTATTTTTGAGATATGTGACCAGAAAAAAGTAAGTAAAAACAAAAGTGAATCATATGATTCGATAGGGAATTGCACGCCCTACAAAACATGCTATTTTTTTTCATTTCTGTTCTTTCTTTTCTTAGAACAAACCATTTTGCTATCGACGAGTCATCAAAACAATGGATTTTTTCGACTTTTGACCGCCGTAGTTCAGTAAGCTGACGAGATATCGTCTCAAAATCTTTTGTAGTAGTGAGGCAAGGTGTAAGGAAGAGAATAAGAAAACCTTTTTCTTGAAATCCGTCCACTGGACCGCGAATGACCGTAAAAATAAGCAAATAATGTGATTGTACAATAAACTTGTAATTTACTCATATATTAAGACAGGTCACGGCCAACAGTATTCCAAAGCTCATCTCCAAGTTGCTCTTCAAGAAGCGTCTGCAGGATCCGAAATACGTCTCAGAAAAAATACAACATTCCGTATCCTAAGATGCCTCTTCATCATTCTTCAGAAACATCTCGCAGAGGAGCTGGATGATCAATATAGTTTATTGATTTGAAAGAAACTTATTTAGTCGATGCAGCAACCGTTTTAAAGGTAAGTGTTAGATTAGAAAATCTAAATTACGAACGAACCCGAAAGTCCTGAGAAATTGAGAACGAGTTTGAAGAGATTTAACTTTGATCTTGGTTTCTTGAACACGATTTCTCGATTCTATTAATTCTCGGCTTCTCGATATATTTTGGTATGTTTTTATTAATTAATAAACACGATTATTATCTGATACTAACAAGTGGTAGCAGCGACATAGTTCTCACCAGAACAAAGCATTATGTTTAACTTAATGGAGTCGTCCGAAGATTTTGAAGAACTGTTACAGGCTCTAGTGTGAATAGTCAAAGGAATACAAGACAATCAGAACGAACAGCAACATCTAACAAACACACGTCATCGATCGTTCCAGATACCACCGCCATTGTATTCTGAAAGAAGGAGAAAATGTGGCCACCTGACAGTTTCAGGTAGAAGAAGTTTATCGAGCAAACAAAATTACCAACGACTATCAGTTATTTTATGCTGCGACATCGTTACGAGACGCAGCACTACAATCGTATCACAACGAGAAGAAGGAGATTGATGATCAAATGAAGCACACAATTTTGAACTAGAAAGAATTTAAGGATAGGATTAAAAGTGCGTTTGAACCACCACATCGATAGCAGCTCTTACGTCGGCAGCTTCGAATACTAAAACAAACAGCATGCGTTCAAGGATACGTTTACGAATGTCGAACAGTTATGGGTCAAATAGATTCAATGGATGAGACAGACAAGGTGATGTACTTTATTGTCGGATTACATGGCCACATAAAAGCTGAAGTCGGTTATAGGGCACCGCAGTTATTGCAAGGAGCCATCAAAAACGTAGTTACGTATGACGTTGCCCATTATTCATCAACAAGTGTATCCAAGAGACGGTTATGTCAAAATCCATCAGCACTTCAATGGCAAAACAACCGATCATCAAACGATGTAATAGTAAATAGCGTACAAGCAAAAGATTTGTTTAGAGAAGAATGTCGTCGCTTTGGGTTATGCTTTTATTGTAGGGAACAGGTCATCGAGCAGCTAACTGTTCAGAGAAACAACAACACTCATAAAACGGTCTTCGTTAGACATGTCGCGGATTTTATCTGCTAATCTATCAGCAGGAAAACCATCACCTTTCGACCACCACTATATTACGTTGAAAACAAATCATCGATAAGTTCGAACGGAATGTTGAATGCATTAACAATAACTGATGCTAACAAATCGGAGATCACGAAACGGTGATTTAACACTAATACCAACGATGTCAGAAGAGAAAGAGGGATTTTGAGAAGATCAAATGATGAAAATGTTGAACAAATTAGAATGTGAAGATGCGAACTTGATTAGATGTGACAGTAAAATCAATGAGACCAAGGCACTTGTGCTCTTAGATTGCGGTGCAACATATGAATTCATATCCGAAGAATTTGTCAAGCAAAATGGCATTGAAACTGATCCGATCGATCGAAAGTCACAATTAGTGTGGCTGACGGACGTGAATCTGAGACTACGAGAGCTACAACCACATTGACACTGCGAATCAATGATTTTGAAGATACGACGTGTGGTTATGTCGTGCAGTTAGGGAGTCAGTATGATCTTTAGTACTGTACCACAAGTACTATATTTCTCATGAACACAACACCGCTGATCGTCGTCTGTGTGTGACCAAAGAGAAATGAGAAAAAATCAGTCATGAGAATACATCATGCACTTAGAAAGCAGACTTCAAGTTTGTATGGCAAGATAACAAAAATCATTGATCTTTTATTTTTAATACAATTGTTATTATCGTTACTAGGATATTTAATATATTACAACAAACAGTATTATTATATGAAAAACAGAATGGGAAATTATATACTTTAGTTGTACTTACCTTGCGCATGGACATCTATGATTGTTATTGAAACCAAAACAAGTACCAAAAATATTAAACGTAATATCATTTTTGTTTCTAATACAATAACTTTGTAGAAGAAATATATTGCTTTCTACGTGAACTATTGGCCGTAGGTGAAAATAAGTGTCTATGTTACAAAGTGAATAATTTCTAGGTAGAAGAGAGGAGAGAAACGAAATATTCTTTCTTCTAGAAATAACCTGATCACAGGCCTTCTAAATTTACCTTTGATTATAAATAGTTTGTAAAACGTGAACAGAGTAATTTTTTGCGCATAAGACGAAAATTTAACAGAAAAATGTTAATTGCTGTCATAAAATCAGAGAGCGAAAAAACATGGCCATGAGAAGACGAAACGTCACCATCGTCAACAGTAGCAGTGAAGCTGTCCCAGGGTGAGCTACAAAGAAGAAACAACAGGATCAATTGAAACGACAACCTGCAGTACTGATAGATAAAGGCTTCATTCAACTACCAGTCCTCATTGCAAAGAAAAAAGATGAATCGTTGCGCATGTGCGTAGATTACAGAGCTCTCAAAAAACTGAAGATCGAAAATACCTATCCATTGCCGCGTATTGATGAGTTGTTGGATCGACTTGGAGGTGCAAAAGTCTTTTCACACATTGATTTGACAAGCGCTTATCATCAGATAAGAATAAAAGAGGACGATATCGAGAAAACGGCCTTCAACACTCATTATAGTCAGATAATGCCTTTTGGCTTATGCAATGCACCACCAACATCATGAAGTTGATGAACACCGTGTTCTATAAACATCTGGACACATTCGTAATTGTTTTTCTTGATGGATGATATCCTAATATTTAGTAAAAACAAGGAAGAACATCATCAAAATTTAAGAGTTGTTTTGGATATCCTACGTGAAAACAAACTGTATGGAAAATTACCAAAGTGTCAGTTTTATTGTGAACAAATAGAATTCCTTGTTTACATTTTATCCAAAGACGGGATCAGCGTCGACCAACAAAAAATTGAAGCAGTAAACAAATGGCCAAGACCCCAAAACGTTACAGATATTCGAACATCTTTTGGTTTAGATGGAGTTTACAGACGTTTTTACGTGTACGTTACCAATATTATTGTAACAGACTGCAATATTCAAACGAAAATATCCAGATATTTTTGACAATAGATCAAATGCTTTGTTGTAAAAATCTAAATCTTTATGTTCTAATTTTTATAGTAAGCAGCACCAAAACTATTTCCAATATCCAAATCGTTATTAGGACACGATTTGAGCCTGATATTAAGTGCATTGTTATGATAAAACAATGCTTTTTCAAGTTCTTCTTTATCATCCGCAATCAGGGTTGCCAGATGTCCTCCATTTAAAGATTTGTCCCCCTTTTCAAGGATATTTTCTTTTGACCGTCTTCAACGGATTTTTCACTCTTGTGTTCCGCTTCCAGCTCAACAGACCTTGAGTGTTTAGTAATTTTCTTATGTGGAATCGCCAAGATGAAAACAGCTGATTTTCCAGTTTTCGTTGATTTTCGCCAACTTTCAATGATTTTTATTGATTTTAGACTTAAGACACTCTACCAGCCCAGCAAGAAAAGCTGTCAAGTGAAATTTTTTGACCTATATATTTTTTTCTAAATGTCACTTTTGGCACTATGGGTTGATGTTATGGCAAAATGTCTCAGAAATCGTTTAAATCGAAAAATCAACTGTTTCCCCCTTAGAGATTTCACATAAGAAAAAGCACTGAACGCAGAATTGAGAATTAGAATGAATACAAACTTAACGTGTACTAATTTTCATTCTTTGAGTTTAAGTAACAAAGAACTTCTCAAGAGTATTCGTGGAAATGAAAAATATGTACATAGAAGTAAAAAATTACGTTTAAATTGATCGTTTATTGTTTTTAGTGTAACAAAAGATATTTGTCTTAAATTATATATTTTGGCATAATAATATTACAAAAACTAGAATAAAAGATTATATTCACGTGCTTTTAATTTTCTCAATGACATCGCACGCCAAATAACATGTGTTCTCCTTTGTAGAAAAAACAGTCCCCCTCACGTTCCCCTTTCTCCAAAATTACTGAAGAGTTCGAGTTGGGTTATACATATATTTTTTTCTTTAGTCGTAGAAAACATTTTTTATTCGAAATATGATATAAGCATAAAAAGTACTTCTTCTTTAGTCTGAAAATAACTCATGTTGGTTATATCAGCAAACGGTTTTGTCAACTGACATGTATCAATATCAATTTCAAATAGAATCGCTGGAGATTCTTCTCCAGATTTAGCAAATGAAATTGCTACGTCTCGATTTTTACTTGTCGATAAAAATGAATTCATTGAAATAAATTCTCTAATACTGGCTAATAATGTTTTTAGCTCATCTTTTCCTTTTGCTTGACCACAATACATTTGAAATTTTCTGTTGAGAGACTTTTTTTGTGTTCCTTTGAGCTGATTGAGTATATCAGCAATTAGACAACGAAATGCAAAAAGTATATTGATATTCCGAACGCGAGGTGCCTTGTTAAGTAATTTAAATATACAACACTCTCGCGTATACCGCCAAATAACTGTCGATGGAACGTATGTATCAGTTAGTTCAGTGATTGTTAGGAATTTTTTTGCATGCGTAAGTAGTCCGAATTTCAGCTGCATTTCAGGGCATTAGTTTAAGATTTTTCAGAAACCTTCTGAAAAACCTCACAGTATTAGTGTTCTGCTGGACCAATTTTTCAGCGCGATCAACGATATATGGCACCTTTTAAGTTTTTCCTGAAAATTTCCTTGAGTCAACATGAGATTTGATCAAGATATAAGGATATTAATTTTAGCTAGTAACAGGGAAAAATCGGTTTTTCATAAAAAAAGCCTCCGACGAAGTTTTTTCATTTCTACACAAAAACAAATGCTGCCACTATGCTCAGCGTAGTCGATTACCTATATTCCATGGCATTTCGAGATTCCTGGAGATGTCTGCTCGGAGATAGACACGTGCTCGGGGAAAGCGAGCTCTATCCAAACGATGATAGCTGAAGAGCTAGGAGTTGCATTATTTTGTAGAGGACTACCTACGCATGCAAAAAATTGCTAACATTGTATGTTAGTTTTCTGAGGATGGAGCTCGTTTTCCAAAGATCCTCTGGTAACCAGGTCTTTGCAATTTTTTCAGAAATTGTTTCCGCTTGTAAGAAGTTCCGCTCAAGTCTTGGCTATCGAACAACGAAACCACAGGTCTGTATCTCATTCCTATCAACAGTTACTCAAAAAGCAACCGTCTGCGTTATATTTTGGAACCGATAGTAGTACGAATTAGTCTACCATTTATCGTTTAGGATTACAATCACAAATATTTTCTATAGTATAATGCTATTCAAATAAAGAATGGTATAATATATTATATATCATTCTAAGAAAGCTAAAAAAGTAACCAAAAAACTGAAAGAATCAAACTTTATGGGGTTTATACAAGGGGGAAAAGGCGGAATGGGCTGGAATGGGCGATTGCGTACCATTCCATACCATTCCAAACTTTTTTGACCATTTTGGAATGGTACGGAATGGCCTGGAATGGCCCATTCTAAAACGCTTTTTCGTCCTTGGGTTTATGGTTACAAGGCATTGAATTGGGGCAAGTCGTATCTTGTGACCTGAAAGCCCATGTCGAATACAAAAAATAATGTCAGTACAAAAAATATATGAAAACGACCTGCGTATGTCAGACTACTGAGTATGTCAGTAAATAAAATGGATTAAAATGATAGTGTTTGAGACTTCAAATAGATATGTCAAGCATAACAAATGTTTATAGTGCATCTTCTGTTTTATTTACATTTCCTCATCGTTGTCAGAGTTTTCCCCGCTTGTTGTATCATTGGGATGCAGTGAAAACACTACTGCATCTGATATACATAAAAGATGTTGAAGTTTCGGGTCTTCAGTTTGCTGATGTTTCTCATCATTCACTGCATCTCGCGAAGTTAGTAACATGTTATCAAAACATGAGTAATATACAGTTTCGTTACGAAATTGTGGCTGAAGTTGTCGTTGTCGGTCAATCTCTGCGTGTATCATGTCACGCCGAACATGTTGAGGTAATGCAGGATTTAAACTTATCGCATATGAAAGAATTATTTCAGATAAATTCCCAAAATCAATTAAACATTTAATGTACATAGTATCACCTTTGATATACTTATCATCATGTAAAATCGTCGGTAATGGAAAAAATTTCGGTATTCCTGATGCAATATTCATTTCACTTCTAGGTCTTTGAAAACTGTTTGATTTTATGTCGGGTTTGAAAGAATCAATAATGTGTCGTTGTTGTCCAGATTGATCGTAGAGACAAAATGTCACTTTAAATTCAAATGGCCATTTTAATATTGCATCAAATGGACCGTGCATGAGAAGAAAAAAGAGAGACATATGTGTTCCACGAGCATTTCCATCTCCGTGTAAATAAAGACGAATACGCATTTTGTAACCAGTTGGAGACGAGTAGAATGGCGGTGAATAAATAGATGTTTGTCGTTCCGATTGAGCATAAGCCATTTTCTCTGAAACATTAGAAATTTTCCATATAATAGTTCCATCGTAGCTGGTTGATTCTAAATCTTCTACTTTTTGCTGTAAGGTTGCTAATTCACGTTGAACTATTTGATAATTAGGTCCAATATCCGCAATATATGATTGTATTTCAGCTTTTGATTGTCTAATTAAATTTATTTCGTTTTGACATGCTTGTAATAAATTGTGGTGATGTAATGATTCAGTTTTCAAACGAATTGAATCCTCGCTTAATGTTTGATTATTTCGCATTATAGATGTCAATGTCTCATAATGTTGTTGAAGTTGAGTGTAAAAATAGTTTATGGTTGAATTTGTCGTAGCGAAACTAGTGACAGTTGACATTAATGATGGTAGATTAAACAGATCAGAAGTACTATTTGTGATAGTTCTATCACTTCCATTAAAATGTGATTGAAGTAGTTTGCTGTTACCTTCAAGATACGACAGTAAACATCTTTGATGTAGTTCAGTCAAATAGTGTTCACGAAGGCCAGATAGGCGAAACTAAATAAGCGAACAAGCACTTTGTCAAATTCAAAACCATGCGTATGCGTATGCAACTGAACGATGCTTGCTTACTTTGCAGACAAAATCGCATACCTGTTCACATACCTGAGTTAATTAAGTTTTCAGTCAGACTATACGGTGTTTATTTCTACTTACTCTTTGTTTTGAACAACCATGTACGGCTAACTGACATAATATCATTAGTTGTGTACATGAGCCTTTTTGATGGTCATCCAGTTCATATTTACTTAAAAATTTTTCATTACAATGTTTACAGTTATGGATTGTTATATGAACATTATTGAGATGATTCTGAATCGAAATATAAAAGAGATACAAAATTTAATAACGATGTTACACCTTTTTCGCATACTTGATAGTCTTTTAATACACCAGTCCAATCACATCCTTTATCCTTCTCTTTACAGATAACGATTAACATCATCAGTTCCCTCACAAATCCTTTATCAAGCATTATCTAAACGGAACAATATAAATATTTTAAGTTGTAAAGTCGAAGACATTTCTAGAAGCGACAAATCCACCACGGTGCTGAGGGTAGACCATGGTTCATCTCTTTGAAAATTATTATTTCATACTATCTGCGATAGAGAAATCTTACATCAGAGGATATGAACTGTGCAGTTGAGGATAGTAAATGAAAGCTTAGTGTTGATGCTTTTGCAATACGACCGTTATTCCTTCTGTATACTCTCATTCCATTCTCTGCATTTTTTAACTTTTCGTTTCTTATTTTCCTTGAAGAAAAGAACGTCTAATTGAGTAATATGTCAAAGAACCTTACTTTCGCTCACTTTTCTGCTGTGATACAAGTAAAAGTATCTTATTACCATTCGTCAATAAAACGAAAAGAATCAAGAATCCGTGGGAATTAAAAAAAAAAAGGACGAGGATCCTTTTCCGAAGAAATCAGTCCTCTTTTGAATAAATGTTTTTTCCTCGGCATATATAATTGATCTATAAAGAACTGGTTCCCTGTTCGATCAAGCTCACGGTTGAAGAATTAGCTGAAACTAACTTTAACACAGCGTAAAAACGAATAGATTAGTATTTGAATTTTTCTGTACTCATAGGGAATAAAGATCTTCTTCATAGCGTGCCTCAGATCTCTTCGATACCCATCGCATGGTATATGACACAAAGTCACACAAGTTGTGCTTTGTTTTTTAAAATACCGTCCGTTCAATGAAATACTGACGCTTTACCGAAGCACCTGATGTATCGTGCAGTTTACCGACGATTATTTTCCATATCGTAGTATGATTAAATACCGAGGGGTAAACCAATTAGTATATTCATCGTTTTGTTTATGAGTAGACAATACATATAAGCAACACCGAAAAATCAAAAAAATTGATTTCTTTTTAAGATAAAATTTTTTTTCGATTATTTCCTTTTTAGATCTCAGACTCGTCGAAATTTGACTCGTGCCAAATTTTTTCCTACTCGAAGAAGCTACTTTGTGCTTGCAAGCGCTCAATAAAGATAAAACAACTAAAAGTTCCAAATTAGTTTCGAACTCCCGTTCTATGTATTCATAATGAAAATGCCGCCACTTATCGCCGGTATTATCACTCGATATACTGATCGATGATCGCGGTATAAATATAATACCACACGATAACCGTGCGGTAATTTTGCTTTCCCTCGCGGTTTATCGTCGATTATTCTCCACTGATAACGGGCCGGTAGCCGAGCGGTATTCGTCCGGTGTTGAAGACATGGGCAATAACAGCTTTGATTGCACAGAACAGTTGAATTATAACTATATATGTCACTATCATCATCTATAGTAGCCAGTATAATCGATATAAATCAAACTATTGTAATCAATTTTCATAGTATAGTATAACAAAAACAGAGCTCTTCGATAGTTATTATACTATACATAAATCATTACCAGAACTTCTTCATGAGTAGAGAAAACTTCCAATGTCCCGTCAAGCTTGATTCAAACTGGGAACCAGTCCTATTATATATTCTGAGTGAAAAGATGTTTTCGAGAGAAGCGGTTTCTTCAGAAAATGACCGCGGCCTTTAATGACGAACATGGAAGAGAAAGTTACCGATGAAATTTCTAGATGATTAAGTAGAATTTTAAAATTAAATTAATGTGTAACCTAATGTGAAATTCCAGTTGAGCATTCTTAGGTTAGTTAAAGCTTTATGCTACCTTTGTAGTGTTTCTGTAAGCACGTCTAAAATAGAGATGCATTCTGCATGTGCTCGAGACTTAACAGAAATGGGTACATGACGTAAATCCTAACTACAGAAAGAAAAACAGAAGAGACATAGAGCAAAAGAATCTTCCTAAAGTCACTGAGGGAGAACCGAAAAAAAGTCTAGTTGCCTATAAGATTTGATTAATCTTGAGGACGCGGCTGGCTTCTAGTTAACGGCATACCTTATTATTTGATGTCTTCTCATAGCATACGGGACATGTTGTTCTAAAATCAGACAATACAAACAATACTTATGATGTTTAATGCAATTGAATAAGAAATTAATGAAAGATACATTCTTGTTTCACTTACTCAGCCTCCAAAACAATGCTTTCTTTACATAATCGATGACCACAATTACTTAGTTGAACCGATGATCGCAGAATCAGTTTGCAAATCGGACAAAGATATTTTTCATCCATACTGTCCTGGTTATACGCTTTGTAACCACACTAGAAACCAAATAGTAAGAGAAAAAACTACAAGACTCGGTGATTTTTACTTCTGGATGAGGTGATGGTTCATCACCTTCGTCAAATCTACTTAGTGGAACATGCCAGAAATTTACATTTTCAAATTTCATCTCCCTTCTATCGAGAACCGCAGATATTTATCTGTTTTGATTAAACAGTAATTCAAAAACAGATGATGAAATGGAAAAAGTGCTTGCAAAATATGTAGTTTTAAGCATTCTCTTTTCACAGATACTAGTTATATACATCTCATTCGATTTCAGCAAATAGTTTGCGCTTACTTCACTCATATCAGCCCAGGACAGCCGAATGTATCAGTAGCGTGCACTTCTGTGTAATATTAGCATCACATTTCATATTGCTTAAGATATGTTCTTGAAGATGAATCTGGTTTATTGCTCATAACGCTTGACAATAAAAAAGCCTTTTGCAATTGCACAATAAACTTTCAGTTCCTAGATTCATTCTTAGCGCCTTACTCAACTATCAGAGTTTAACGCTTTCTTACGCATATAAACACATAGATATTTATACCCTCATAGAATAGGGAAGCACGTCATCACACATGAATAAGTTGACAAACAATAGCTGATTTGACTGCACAGTAATACCTAAACGTTTTAAAGCCTCACTTACTGGTTCCAAGTTATTAATAGATTGATATATTGTGTTATACTTCGGCGCTTGATTTATTCCAATAATTTTCTGTTGAGCATCAGAATGATTGGTACCACCACTGGATCGGGCTTTTTCTTCCACTGCTTGTTTTTCTCTAGATATACAATCTTGCAGCGATGAATCTTCCCCTTGCAAGCACTGTTCGTCTCTTTCTTCTAATCTTTCCCGTATGGGATCGATCGAATTATGTGGACCCGACATGTGATACGAAGATGATCTGAAACACTACAAATATGACACTTACATCGGTTATAGCGAACTGTCGGTAAGCCTGTTTTACTATTATTTGATACTTCGAACTTTTTCAGTCAATTCCACATGCAACTTTGTTTATTGTAATGTAAGTAAGTTCGTGAAAAGATCCTTTTATATAAAACTAAACATTTCTCGTCTTTGTTCGTTGTTGCCGAGAAGGTTTGTTTTAGAACTTCTCGTAAAAGGAAGGAGATCTAGAGTGAACCATAAAGACTTCTAACAATGAATCTATCTTTCCTCTGTATACCTTAGAGTAATCATTATAAATAAAGATTATAGGTAAGCACTTTTGACGATCAAATTATTTCGGCAATATTCGATGTATATATTCTCAACTGTGTTCAGAGAAAAGTTACAGAAAGGCAATGTTGTCATTTTTCTCATATGAAAGCCTTCTTCCCTTTCATCAAACATCGGACAAATAGGAGAAATGTTTCATTTTGGCGAGAAAGGATTTTTTCTAAAATCCTATACCCTATATGCTCCTATAATCCTATAAGTTATATCCTATAAGTTTCAGCCTATTTTTATCTGCAAATTCCGCGTAATTCCTCCTGCTGAGTTATCATCTCGTAGATATACGATTTTTAGTCAAATCCTTAGTGTTCGTTAAGGCTTTAATCTTAATCCAAAACGAAATCGAGAATATAAATTCTCATCATATCATTCTAAAACTTAAACGATCAAAACAAAAAACCAATTCTTGCACGAAGCTACCCAGGTGATTTTTCTGCAACATAAATCTGGAAAAATCTTTGCAGTAACTTTGCAGATTCTGCAAAGGGATTCTGCAGATTTGAAGCAGATCTGCATTGCAGATGTGCCAAGATTTGACCAAAGATCTGATGCAGATCTGCAAAAAAATCTTTACAGTTTCTTTGCAGTTCCTTTGCAGGTTTTTTGCAGAGAAACTGCAGATTTTTACAGCTTTTTTTTGTTTGTATATTTGTGTCAAAACATTTGAAATATATGAAATAAATGTATATCCCACAGTCCCACAGCACGCTGAAAAAACTGCAAAAAACTGCAGTTTTTCTGCAAAGAATCTGCAGAGAAACTGCAAAGAAACTGTAAAGATTTTATTGCAGATCTGCATCAGATCTTTGGCTAAATCTTGGCACATCTGCATTGCAGAAAAACTGCAGATTGCAGAATCTTTACAGATTCTGCAAAGATTTTTGCAGACCGAGTTTTTTTGGGTATCTGTGTAGTCTACATTTCAACGTGCGATCAGAAAAAGACAATTTTTTCTTGTTTTCGCATGACCGAAGAAAGAAAAAGAGAAAAGAATAAATAAAGACATCTGACGCATTTGTCGTCGAATATAGTGCACATGCGAATAGAGATATCTCCATTTTCGTTAGGTCTCTAGTAAAATCAGATATTTTCTATGAAAATGATTTCGTTTTATACACAGATTCCATGTTAGTAAATTGCATAAATTTACTTCGCAAGTGTAATGACGAATGGAAAAATGAGTAGATACTGGTTTTTAAAGCAATCCACATTTTCCCGCAGTATCAGCTTCTACAGTTGTATAAAAATTGCAGGACTGACAGAACTCAACACATTCAGATCTAGTACTAGGATTCTTGTAGAACTAGAAACGGAATTCTAACCAGAATCTCTCGATTCGTAGGGAATAACGAAAGGTAAAGCAACTATTTTGTTGCTTGATGATAGAGAAAGATACTTATTAGGGATTATTTATCTATCGAATGAAAAGAGAAAGAAATAAGGAGAAATGATTGGTGTTTAGCAGCAACGTGATTACAAAAAAAGCATATCAGTATGCTGACCTTTTCAAGAATAGAAAGAAAATATTAGTAATGTTAAGAAAAAAAATAACTATGATAACTTTTCTTTATTTAATTAAAGACCAAATTGTAGTACTATAATTCTCGCAGAACTATAAACGGAATTCTTACTAGAATCTCCGGATTCGTAGGGAATAACTAAAGGTAAAGCAACTATTTTGTTCTTTAATTAAATAAAGAAAAGACTCTTCGAGTGCCATACTTTAGTCTTCAAAATACATTGTTTATAGCCAGGAAGACGTCAGCTTTCCGAAGTGGACTCAAAGGAGGGTTTTAATCCTTGTTCAGCACGTTTACAGGAGGTATCCATGCATAAAAATACTCGGTGCTTGGGACCAGCTGTATCATATCCATATCTAGCGTGAGATAAACATGATATTAGTTATTTAATAATGCCTGATTCTACTAAACAGATATTTTACTGAATCAATCATTGTCGTAACCTGTTTTTTGGATTTCGATGTTCATAAATTTGGGATTTGGTCAAAGCGAATAGTAAAATGTTAAACAGAACTACAGGTATTGCAATAGACTAGAGCTCAAAAGAATCAAAAGTTATAAATGTTTTCCTCAGACTTACAGCCCACATAAAACAACAGTTTGTCAAAAAATCGATTTTTCAAAGTCTGTATTTTACATGCAAGAAATTTCGAGCCTTTTTTGCCATATGTGAAAAGAAGAGTAGATGAGATATTTTGTAGAGCAAACTTAGCTCTACAAACTGGCATACGATAAAATATTTCATGTTTTGAGTTTGGCGAATTTCCATTACAATACAAAAATAGACCAAATCGAATTCTGCACAGACATCATTTTTGGGCTCTTTCAAACATTCGCCCACAGTAAAGCAACCTTAAGTCAGAAATAAATTATAAGCACATGCTTTGAAAGAGCATAAAATTTGGATTCTAGTTATCTAATTTTGATGCCCATTGCTTTCTTTGAAGTGGACAAACAATGAACGAACATTTTGCGCAGCGATTTTTGGAACAGATGTTACTATTTATGATAAAATTTTCAAGGTTAAGTAATCTGTCATTCATTACTCAGTTACAAGCGCTGAAAGTTGGCAAATTTCCAAGATGGTAGAATTCACATTTTTCGGAGCTTTTTCATAAAGTTTCAATATCTTAGCAACGGTAGAACTTTTTGACTTGCGTCTTTTGTCAAAATTCATCAAAATGTTTGATCTATAAAAACCATTTAGTTTGGAAAAGTTTTGAGAATATTGATTGAACATTACTCCACTGTAATAGGTCACGATTTACGTGTAATGGCCCTTGAATAACAAAAACTGATTCTATGAATGTTCTGGTCTTGAAAATTCAAAATTTGGTTACAAGACGTCGATAGCGCTTATCATATATAAAGAACAAAATGGAAGTTCAAGTAAAGCAACTATTAACACCATCCAACAGCGCCCGTGTTAAAAATATGAAAGTTATTGCATTAGTAATCATGGGGCCTCTTAATGTTTAAACTTTTTATTGTTTCAACATCACTTTTATTTAACATTCTGACAATTTAACTTTCATTCATTTCTAATTTCGTTTTAGATTTGAATGGAAACGAACATATTGTCGAACATATAGGTGCTTTTATAGTAAAATTTTTATCAATAATTCTTTCTTTTGTTTTCCATGGTCAGTTACGATGATATATATACTGATACAATAATGCTGAGATCCTACCCAAATTTCCTGAGCGAAAATTAGTAGTCCGTCTTTAACAAAGCCAAAAGCTTTATCTGTCATGTTTTCTCGAAGTGATTATAACATCTTAATAATTATGATTATAACGTTAGTTAAGGTTTCTAGTCTGCTCTATATTAGAATAGACAACTCCATTGTGCAAATATCGAATGCAGCTGAAGTGCACCGAATTAGCTAGAGTTGTTCTATCACAACGAAAGACTAGAACTTCATAAAACAGGATTTGACCAATTGACTGAAATCATTTTTAGAATTAAAGGCTAATGGGCTAAGAATTTCCAGACATTTCAAGGAGTCCTTACAGAGAAGGCCTGAAAACTCTAGTGTGAGAGCTTCGCCAAGCGTCCAGTGTTGTTTGAGCTCATATTCTGTTGGTCCATAGGACATAGTTGTGTAACAACACGCCCAAAAGGCTTCTGGCTCATGTCCCTTTCGGAGATAGTAAACGACTTTTTCTTTTTTTATTATTTTATAATGACGTTACGAATGCGAAAACAGTTTTGATAGGAAAAAGAACTTTTTTTCAATTCAATGAAGAAAAAAAGACTAAAGTCTGAAGTTCTTAGAGTTTATAAGCTGTACTTAACACTGTAACTGCTTTGAGGTTCAGCTCTTCAGTTCGCTTGATTATTGCACTAACCCAGCCATTACTCGGGCAAGAAGCGGCATAATCCTGAATTCTTTTGGACTTGTTATTACATCAATATGCTCTATCATTAACAGAATATGAGCTCAAACAGCGTCTGACACTTGACAAGGTTCCCACGTAAGGCATTTAGTCATAATCGTAAAACATCATTTTCTCATATGATTAGGAGATTCAAATGGCACCTAGTCCAGATGTTCCATTTTCAAATCTTTCAATTTAACAACAAACTCTCCTTTTCTATAAAAGAGTGAAGAAACATCCAATCTATTATCCATCCGAAAAGTCGGTGCGTGTGACAATTTTTTAATAACTCCAGAAAAAAAGAGATAGAGACCAGAGTTCTCCACTAGCGCATCGCCAAGGCCCTAGAACATCTTTCCGGAAGCAGAAACTGAACTGGAAAGAACCCCAAGACCGGTTTTACAGCAAATCTTTGGAAAACCACTGGGTAGCTCCATACACTATTTTATGGATAGGTATTGCATCGATTAGTCTACCAAATGGGAGTCAAGCGAGAGACGCATCGTTCAACGTTCTGTAGATACAGACGTTTTCCAAGCACACACCTATCTCAGAGGTTGTACAAGTGTGACGCCGTTACGTTTTTGACACAATAAAATGCAAGTATCTCGGAAGTCAATAGAGCTAGAAACCTCGCTCAAACGGCATTCGACCCAACTCATAATACTCTACTTTCAGTAAAAAAAATGAAGGTCTAAGGCTTTTGAAAACGTTTTACAGATGCATGACGCCGTTACAAAGTAAGACCCTGAAATGCTATTGCTTCTCATTGTTTCAGTTTTGCCTTTGAGTTCTTATTTTTGGCTTTGAAAATGCAAAAGTCGGCCGTGGCGCCGTTAGCGTTTGTCGTGACGCTATTTTACGTTTTTTTTGCAGTAAAACTGTGATATAAAACACGCTTAGAAAAATTTGATTTTCATAGGCATTGTTTATTGAGGTATTTCTGATCGATCTGTGCAACAAAAACCTTTCTAGTGCACGATGAAAGATCAAAAACTGTACAAGCATGCACAAATCTTATTTATCGAGAAAACTCAAAAATAAATATGTAAACAATTTAATTCTTTTCAAAACCATATGTTCGAAAGATTTTTTTTGGAAATTTTCTTGGTTAGGAAATTCAAAATACGGTTTTTGAAAGTTTAAAATCCGATTTTGTAGATCTAAAAGCTCCTCAGTGCAGGCACATCTGGGAATCTCAAAAATCCGTGGAACATAGGTTAACAACCGTGCTGGTTATCGTAGCAACATTTGTATCCGTATGAAAACGAAAATAAGGTCAAAAAGTAAAATATTCTGAAAATTTGATTTTTAGCCTTTGACCGTCGCAGATTGTCAGTTTTATAATTCGACCATTTTCAGTTCAAATTGACTCAAATCTTTTTGTTCTCGAGTTATTCGAAAAGTAGCCACATGCACCGACTTTTTGAATGCGAGAATAGTTCAGTGATCATTTTCAGATACAAAAATCAGCTAAAAGTAAGGGCTCTATATACAACTGGAACTCGTTTCTGTTGTCTTTACAATTTTCTTATTCTCGTTCTTTTCGAACATATATCAAACTGCACACTAAAATGACAGGTGTCCTCTAGACTTGTTCCTACTTGGTTTTTTAAGACGAAAAAACATCAAAGGTAGCATCCAAAATGAGAGTGAGTAAGTAGAAAGGAATCGTGATTGAACTTAAGGGAAAGAAACATGACGATCCCTACTGGATTGTTTTATCTAGTTTACTTACATTAAAAGTAATACTAATATGACTATAGCAAAAAATTTCTGAATAACAAAATTAATATACATACACGCAAAAATTTCAAGTAATTGTTCATGTTCTTGTCTTGTTTCTTCAAGATCTTTATTTGCACTGTATTCTATAATTGTTTCGAGAAATAACATTGTACAATCTAACATTGATAGAGCTTGCATGAACGTAGAAATGTCTGATTGTTTTTCATACACATGATGATCTAAATAGAAAAAAAAAGACTTTTATCAAAAAAAAAAGTAATCATTTTAATTTTAAATTTATTATTTTAAGTACTCTTATCCTTTTCGTCTAAATATTTATCAGTTGTTATTAATTCAAATACTAATTTCTTTACAAATAATATTTCGTGATCATATAAAAAGAATTGATTATAAAATTTGTACACGTATGTCTCGAAATCTTCATTTGATTCGTAATTTATCACAAAATATTTTTCAAATAAACAACAAAATTGTTCTCCAAGTTCACTCTCTATTAAACGTTTTGATAATTTTTGTCGATGAAACATATTCATCTTTACTTCAATTAAATTTTGCAAATATTTATCAATATTTTCATATATATCACTAATTTTACTAGAACATCGATCTAATAGTTCATCAGGCATATTTAATAACAAATTTTCACTATTAACAAAGTAATGATAACATGTTCATTTGTTCATACAATCCATAAAATTTTTCAATACTTCCAATAGTGCAAATTTTAAATTCTCGTCTATAAAATAATCAATTGATTTTTGTTCACAATATCAAAGAAAACATGTTTTCAACAAATAGGATGAAATATATTTATTTTGATATTTTATTCATCGAATATTTCTGTAATATAAAGATTTTAATAAAAAATATAAAATATTTTAATTATGATTTCGTTGTTTAGCTAATAAATATTCCATAGATGAAAATAAATAACGAAATTCAAAATTACAATTCTTACTTTTTGGTACAAGATAAACAGTACCAGTTAACATTAGATCATATAAATCATTTCGTTTTATTTCTAAGAGCCGTTTTAAAAATGGTTGTATAATATCCGGCATAAAATCTAAACGAATCGATGGTACCCACTCCTGACTCAATTTTGGTGAAGAGATTTTTATATTTTCTGAAATATAATTCGAACTCATTTCAAAAAATTCTAAAATATAATTTACAAAGCAATTTACTTTCAAGGAATAAATTATTTGTACATGACGTTAAGCCTATATCGTTCGTTTCATTAGTTAATTTACGATATGTTGCTAATTTCGCATGATATGATTCTTGGAGATGATAAACATTTTCATTATCTGATTCGTCAATAGCCACAAGCATTGTAATAAATGCATCAGCAAATAAACGAAAATATTCAAACCAATCTTTAAATAGTAAATTTTCTGTTCGATTATTAATATTAATAAAACCATTAAATTTTTGAGATTTTTTCATGACATTATCACTTGTCAATAAATTTTCAGATAATATTTGATGTTTAGTTATTGTTTCAACACTTGCCTTTAAAATACTTCTGTAAAATACTTTAAAATTCTTCTACTGGCTTCTTTATTAAAAATCATCTGCCTGCACTAGGCCGTCAGCGGCCTTCTAATCTGTCACTTGAAATACTGACCTGTGTTTCGTAGAGTTTTATTCTTTTCTTAAAATTATCATGCAAGTATTCATCGTATATCGGTTTTTCTTATCTTCTAACCGCTATCTTAACTTTACTTTGGATCATCATAAGGGCTTTTGGTATAAAGATAAAAGTCAGCAATATTTGCTGTGCTTTTCATTAATGGAAGTTTTAGTTATTGCAGCTTTTAGTTATTGCTTTGAGCAGCTATGTGTTTCTGCGTGTCTCCATATGCCTATCACATCGTTCTGTCTTACTTTTATCGTCTTCCCTGCAGTTGCTGCGCACAGTAGACTGCAAACGTGTAAGTTGCTTTACTTCTGTCCTTTGTAAATTAGTCATCTGTCACTACTTATAAAGGTGTAATTGCTCAACGGGAATATATTACCAAAATAATAATAGCCTGGTAGATGAAAGGAAAAGACGAGCCGCGATCTTGTGTCAAACAATGTCAAACTCACTGCTAATGAGCCTGAAGCATAAGCATCGGTCTTTCGGGACCATGACTCGAGATTAATTTGATACTCGTCATTTCTCCTTTTTCTGCAACTCATCTTAAAAACAATATCATCTTCGAATAGATTATTTTTCCTAACTTATGATGCAACTTATTGAACTCATATTGAATCATGTTTTAGTCTTTTGCGAAAATCTATTTAAATGCATGTTATTTTTATTTGAAGGAAAACGAAATTTAAATTAACACTTTGCAAGAAACTAAAATCAGATTCATTGAGATAGAAATGAATTTAAATAGATTTTTCGTATGAAAAGTTACGCAAAATGAGTTTAAATGAATGTTTTGGAAATCTGACAACTAATTTGAACACAACTCTGAAGTTTAAAGGGAGATTAGAAAACGGGACTATCGAATACATGACTACGGCTAATACATGGCCAAGTAGACAAAAAAATCAATAATTAAACGTTTTCTTCACCATTTTTGGAAGGATGAAACTTTCGAGAATGGCTTCTGCTACAGCAAATATAGACGTATATTCCGTCCAGACTCACTAATCACCAAGTAGTTGGTGCAAGGAGAAAGAATTGAATAACAGTCAGCGAGCTACATCTGATGTTTATCCGAAGCGCTTCAAAAACGCTAGCTATGTTTTTTATTCATACAAGATTTTATTTTTCCCGTATACCTAAAATCAGTCTTGAATCATAGCACATATAGGTTTGTAGATTTGATAACGAATCTCTCGATGAAATATAGTGATCAATGGAGGAACGCGGAGAAGATTTGAAAATACCAACCCTATACTTCTTTTTGCGCCACGTAATACCTATTATGAAACTTTGATAACGCGATTCAGAGTTTCCAGTTGGTAGAGTTTCATTCTTTTCTTTTCTTTAAATTATCATGTAGGTATTCATGGTATATCGTTTTTTTTCTAAAAGAGACCAGTTCAACGCTTGGTTTTCACAAAAACTAACAGTCTAAATTCATTTAAATTCATTTTTAAAATAAAGGTACCTAAATACATCTTTTCCGCTTTTCAAATCTTTAGACTTGTGTTCAAACTACTTTTCCGATTTTCAAAACATTCATTTAAACTCATTTTGCGTAACTTTTCGTACGAAAAATCTATTTAAATTCATTACAATCTCAATGAATCTGATTTTAGTTTCTTGCAAAGTATTAAGTTAAATATCTTTTTCGCTCCAATAAAAATAACATGCATTTAAATAGATTTTCGCAAAAGACTAAAACATGATTCAATATGAGTTCAATAACTTACATCATAAGTTAGGACAAATAATCTATTCGAAGATGATATTGTTTAAGATGAGTTGCAGAAAAAGGAGAAATGACGAGTATCAAATTAATCTTGAGTCATGGTCCCGAAAGACCGATGCTTATGCTTCAGGCTCATTAGCAGTGAGTTTGACATTGTTTGACACAAGATCGCGGCTCATCTTTTTCCTTCATCTAACAGGCTAGTATTATTTTGGTAACATATTCCCGTT